TATATATGTGTGTGTGTGTGGACCTTTTTTATATAAAAAAAATATTGTTTGTTTTAAAGGTTGCTATTTTATAGTAAAAAAAAACAAAAAGTGTCCACGTGACATCAGGTATTAAAAATCCAAATATTTATGTATCCACCACCCCCTCAATCTGTGTATGTAGGCCACGGGATTAAATTAGTTTCAATTATCAACACTCATTGTAGCCATATAGTCCTAGCTGCATAACTATCAAATATAAAATCACTTGGATCTGTAAATCTTTGCAATATGGGTATGTTAGGACTTGCAGATTTTAAGAAGGTGAGTAAAAGAGACCTTCGCTGTGATTAATATTTTTGTTTATTAAGTAATGACTATATACAAAAAATTTGAAAGGGGTATACAGTAAACTATTTAGTTCTATTTTACAGTGATTTCTGGTTCTTTTTAAAGTAGCCACAAAACCAGTAATTTAATTTGTGCATAAATAATCTACATATAAAAGTATAAATAAAAATACACAGCAGAGAAGTGATATGAACATGTATTGCTTATTATTAATATTTATTGCACACATTAATAATATAATCATATAATATATTATTATACAAAATAGCTAAATCTCAAACAGTGTATCGTTTTTATCAGCATATCGCCCAGCTCTAAAACTGCTCAATGTAAGGTATTATATATGACTTTCTGTAGCCTATATCTGCTTTGAAACAATGTGTATTGTGAAAAGCACTGTACAAATAAATCGGACTGCATTTAACTTGATATAGGTATAGGACTATATCGTGGTCACGAATTAAGAATTTGTTTCTGCAGACTTAATACGCGAGCACAGCTCTGTTCTGCCCGAAGTACAAGGAGATGCCGTCACCAAGCATTTATTTGTACAGTAACTTAATCTAACTATTTCGTCTTCAGTAAAAAAAATTTTTAAAAAAATTGCCAATTTATTCGAAATTAAATCACCATGGTTAGCACTTAATATTTCTCTGTAATACAGCCAAACAGCGTAGATCATTTATATAAACGTACATAAAAGACTGCTCATGACTCAAGCGTCTATGCCAATAAGCTCTGCTGTATTATAAACCAATACAGCAGGACTCTGCACTCTGGGGCTACTTGTTCAATCTGCTGTTTATTCAGCTACAGCAATAGGGATTTCCTGAAACGAAGTGCATTACATTTCTTCTGCGGGGCATATTTGGAGTTTCAGCGCGAGAGCGCCCTCTGCCCTTCGGTTTTAGCAGTATTTACTACTGCTTTTGCCAAATCGCAATTCCTGTTTAATTTCGATTAATCGTGCAACCCCAATTTGCATCAGGTTTGCGTGGCAGAAAAATCTTCAAAAACAGGTGAATCAACCCTCTTTGCCGAACGTAAGCAACAATCAGGCTTTAACAATGTCCGATTTGTTTTATGGAATAGTAAAACATGGCTGTTCTCTTTCAGAAGTTGTAGTGATGCTTTATTTTCCCTGAAATAATGTGAAACATACAGTATGTTGGTTATATATTTTTTAAAATCAATTTTAATGCAATTTAAATTAATTTTAGAAGAAGAAATATCATATTGCATATCAAATATCGCATTATTTACCATGCTATCGCATAATACATTTTTCTTCAATATCCCACACCCCTACGATAGACAAAAGTCTGGCTATGCACGTTTGTGTGCCATTCTGTCGGCAAAAATGCAGATGGCTAGACCAGAACAAAGCAAATGCACCTGGGGCAAAAATCAAGGATGGTAGAAAACATTAAAATACAGAATAAGCAATGACGTTCAACACACAAGAATCATTGTAGACTTGCATGGTAAAAAACAATGTTTCTTACCTTCATAGATTGCTTTAAATCCTTGGGCACTAACTGCAAAGTCTGTAGTAAACCACAGTGCCAAAATCGACCCCGTACTTACGATGGGTGATGGCAACATGAAGCCAGACAACCTGGAATGAAATTTATAAATGCAATGTAAGTGTTTGTCAGTATATTATTAGAATTTGATGCACAATATACATTATTTCACATAAAAAAGAAGAAAGAAAGAGGTAATTGTTTAATTCATTCCTGCACTTTTCTAAAGTATCACTGTTCTTTGTCACGTTTTTAATGAGCAGGACCAAATCGTCTTGGTCGCCCTCAGGGAGCATGAGCACACTTCACTGCCCTATGACTCCACAGTACTGCCTCACCTTTGACACCACCCTAGTGAATTAGATAACAATAACAAGCTGAAGATAAAACAAGGGTCCTCCATAACAAAGACCAGCCTCTGTGGCTCTCGATTGAAGGATAAGACAAGTTATTTGATGAAAGCCAGGAGAAAGAAACTAGTCTCACTCCTCAGAGGTCTCTGCTAAGTAGCAGAGGTTATCTGACTCTAACACATCAGCTAAAGTTCATGGAATTCTCTAAAGATGATTCATGTTATCTCAGACCAGTGTAAAACCAGAACATATCACAGACTCCCTAATTCTTGTTTAAGCAACCAACTAATCTCTAACTTTGTCATTTGCAAATATCAAGATTATCATAATTCACTGGAAATTTTTATTGCTCAAAGTATTTAATTGATCTTCTATAGCTGAAACTCAGTGGTAATTTCAGCTGTTAAAGGGGTCATATGATGCGATTAAAATTTTTCCTTTCTCTCTGGAGGGTTACAAGCTCTTGGTGCATAAAGAAGATCTGTAAAGTTGCAAAGACTAAAGTCTCAACTCCAAAGAGATATTCTTTATAAAAGTAAAGAGTCAACCACGCCTACCTAAAACGGCTCGTTCTAACACTCCCCCACATGTCTACGTCACGATGTGGGAAGATTTGCATAATCGCTGAGGAAATACATCAACTTCGCGCTGTGGATCACCGGATCAGCTTTCACCGTGGACAAAGCACACGTCACATGTGTCACATGTGGTTGCCGCAAGTCCGTCGGCCTCCACTCACTCAAGCCGCCGGCTCTTTTGGAAGGACACGACTAGAAATCAGTGGTTAAGTTGTATTTACAACACTGTTCCAGAACAGTTCAACCCAAATATTAAGATGTGTGCAGCATTTTATGGAGGACTGTTCCCTGATCCTCTGAAAGTAGACTACAATGCCAGCTGTTCTGACTCACAGACTGTAAGTACGTTTTCATATTTAAAGAATTTGCCACTGATGATTCAAACGCGAACTTTAAGCAGTGTAGAGTAGCGCTTGTTGTTTGTCATTTCTCCGATCACAAATGCAGACATGGTTTTTTGTTTACACGGCACGGCGCGATGCAATGCAACGCATAAAAAGAATAAGTCATTATAATCCGTAATTATGTCCCCACTGGATGCAACAAATGCCTCATTTGTAATAGGTTTTATTGTTTTTGTCTCGTCGCTCCGGCACACGGCAAGCACACCTCGCTTTTCAGAACAATGAGCTTTGTAAAAATTGACGCGTTTCAGAAAGGCGGGGCATAGAGGAGAAACAATACCGCACAGTATGTGGAAAATAATGTGTTTTTTTAACCTTAAACCGCATAAACACATTTCATTACACCAAATACACAAAATAATGTTCTTTTTAGCAACATCATATGACCCCTTTAAATTTAAGTTAAGCAGATGTTTCTTGTAAAATTAAAAATAGACACGTATGAGCACCATGAGTACCAGGTTGCAGGCATAAATGAATGTGAATACATTTGCTCACACAATTTGCTCTCGGAGTAGTTCATATGGACAGCTATAACTTTGGGATTATGGGACAAATCTTACCAACATTTTCAAGAGATCATCAGAATTTTAGTGAACATATTCTAGGGCATTTCAGGGCACAGTTTTATGGTAGGGCCCCTTTCTGACTGCCACAGTAAAGAGACACCTTTTAGAGGGCAAGAAGAAGACCCCAGTAGCAGGACTGGAAAGGAGAGGACTTTTGTCCACATGTAGTTTCTTAGGAACTGACTACCTTTCACCCATCTTGAAACTAATTCCTAAGGTTTAGGCTGGGAATGCCATAAAAAATTCATTAGGATTAGATTCAATCGCCCACGCAATCTTGTTCCTAAATGACAACGATTCAGCTATGTCTATTAAACCTTTGACAAAAGGATCACACTGTAATATTAAAATCTGCTTTCGTGCTGCCGCTGGCCCAGAGCAGTTAATGTATGAAACATCCTTACAAAGTCTTTTTCATCGTTATTTCTGTTACAAACATTCAAATAATCACAGAAGTACTGGGATAAAAGTTTATAGTTCGGATAAAAACTGTTGTCTACTACAGTAGTGATCAAAATAGAGTAAATCTCCTTTTTGAAAATGAATTCACGCTTCAAATAAACATTGTATCAATTACAGCGTAACGCCGACAAGTGACTTGTGAAAAAGATTCGTTCAAAAAAACGTTGTTTATTCAGGAATGAAAGAAGTGTAGTCTTCATGAGCGAGTCATTGAATCATTCGTTCAATAAATCAATAGTGAATATATTTTTTAAATAGACTGCAGCAATTTGCATTTTGTCAGAACCTGTAGTAAATTACATGTAATTTTGCTTAGTTTAGTTATATATATATATATATATATATATA